CTTGAGTGTAGTGGTAAACAAACAAATAAATAACTAAATAACAAACTGCAGTCGATATTCCTAGGCAGCATGGGGGTCAGTCGTGATTCCGATGGCGAAAAATGGCGAAAAATTTGTTCTTTTAAATTAATCTTCGTTCCTAGAGTACACCGTATGAAATAAGCGGCGAAGAATAGATCGCGCCTCTAATTCTACCGTCACAGATAATTACCGCAGTTTCCAAGATCAAAGTTCTTCGTGTTTTTGAAAAAAAATGAAGCTTAGCAGTAATACTATTTCTTCATTATAAGTGTTGCTCTCGAATCGCTGGATGATTTTATGAGATTGATAGGCAGCGAGAAAAATTATGGGTAAACCATATGTTAAAATTTGCAAACGAAAATGTAGATTTAATACAATTTACGGTTCGGGTCTACATTTTAGGCTTATCATGCTAATTTCAGCAAATGATCGGCTCGAACGCACCCTTCTATGGCCTCCGCTCGTGTGGAAAGCGCGAAGTCAGAGGAGACCCCGCCGCCGCCGGCACCTCCGCCACCACCAACAGTGGAGCCTGAGGTTGAGAAAGAGCCGAAGGAGTCACCGAAGAAGGAGCCTGAAGTGGAGCAGATCACAGCAGAACCTGTTACTGAACAGCCCATGGCGACTGAAGAGCCTACGATAGAAGAGCCCAAGACAAAAGAAGAGGAGAAGGGTGAGGAAGTCGAGCAGATCGCAACATCTGAGTCCGTCAGTGAGCAACAGCCTAGTCCATCGAAGAGCAAACAGAGTGAAGACGAAGAACAAGAGGAGATAGAGAGCCCTAGTAAGGAGTCAGTGGCCAGTGAACCTCGACGGTTGAGTCTTGAGAAATCGCAACCTACGAGTCAGTCAAGCAACGGCACAACTTGTAAGAGGGATTCCTTGCGAAGCGAGGATTGCCGAAAGGAGGTATGCAATGCTCTTATCTTACCTGAAATATCTTTAACTGGGGCGTTCATCGAGTCTGCCCCTGTTTTCTTTGGAAATTGCGGATATCTCAACAAGTCTCGTAAGCGCGATTGGTAGCCGAATTGATGGGGCATTTAGCCCTCCGTTCAAGTATTGAATGATTTCCAGGAAAAAAATCTCAATAATGACCTCGAAGTAACAACAAAGTTGAGGAGGCCGGGTAAAGGGGGTTGGAAGAGCAGCTGAAAACAGTTTGACGGGAGTGGCAAAGTCTCATTACGGCCGACCTGAGTCAAGAACTTCATAAGAAATAGAGTGAAAGTCATAGACTAGAAAGGAACGCTCGGAACAAGATGACGAGATGTGTATGTCACCGGCGTTGTTTTTGGGGGTGTTAACGTCTATAAAATCTCCTCATGAGTTATAAAATTGCAACAGAACATCCTAAGCGAGAAGAAAACCAACGAATTGGATTTGGAAATTTGTAGTGTATGAATAATTTCAGTCGGGTCCATTGATAGTATCGGACGTGTCCAGTTCAGAAGCTCATGAGGACGAGCCCAGCACCTCTACGGCTCAGGTCAGGGTCATCTAGGTTGTGTGCTTCCCACATTAACAAAGATTGCTTCTCCTTCGCTTATTGCATAACCATTTTGATCGCTAATAAATGCCCGTCCAAGCTAATTTTGTATTTGTAATTTCTCTCGCTATTTCCGTGGGAAATTTCTTCCTATTCAGTATCCCACTACATCAGCTGAGCCGACTATTTCACCGTCGACGAGTGCTGCCGAACTACCAAAAGATTCTGAAGACGACGAAGAGGAAAGCAAATTCGGCTACACGCAGGGTGAGTAAAATATACGGCGCTGCCTGTGTATGTCATCGGCGATGTATTTGGCGTTGGCACATTCGTACTTAGTCTCTGTTCAGCAATATACTTCACTATCCCAAGAGAGAAGCCTTGCCTTTCTGGAATCCTACCAATAAACCGAAACCGTTTTCAGCTAAACTCAAGCGAAAATATGGCCATTTGAACGGCGATGTACTACTGGTATCGTGTGAACGGGTTCCCGAGGCAGGACTCGGCATATCACTGGCAGGAAATCGAAATCGCGAAAAGAACAACACTTTCGTACTTTCCGTCAAAGTACAGTGTCCGTTGACGGTACGAGCAGGAGACGAACTGCTTGAGGTCAGTTCTTAAAGATATTTTTCACGGGGTTCTCTCACAAGTTTATTACCATTGAACATCGCATTAAATATTTTGTACGATTCAAAACGGATAGGGACAAAAATATTTCAGCGCTAGTGAGCCCTTCGCTATGACCGCGGCCGACGCATCTCTTTCTTTTGGAAACTTACGAATTCAACTTTTTTTACACACGCAATGATTAAGCCAAGGGCCTCGAATCCTGCTTAGGCCCCCCCCCCCCCCACCCTGGTGCTCGAATTCTTCAATGAAATTAAGATCGTTGAAAATCCAGTTCTTAACATGGTGTTCGAGTTTCCCAGTGCGTAATGGATTGAGGCGTACTGGTGACGAATGGAGATTGTGCGAGTTACAGTCGTAAAAACGGCTAGTTTGAAGCAGTGCACTATAAGCGTTGCCCTTTTCTGAAGATCTCACGTCGCTCGTCATAAAGTTCTCTTCAAGCGGACCGGAGAACATTAAAGAAATACCATAAAGTGATGGATCTTCAAATGGCGCCATCTGTTAGACGAACATCCGGAAATACCTAAGGCATTATGGCCGTAATGAGCTTATCTGAAGGAAATGTCGATGCCACCGGGTGTCTGGTCGATAAATTAGTGCAGGTCTCATCTTAGAAGCCAAAAGCTTGGACGGATCTGGACGAGTCTTAGGTGTTTCCAGATGTTCGTATAACAGATGGCGCATTTCGAAATCCATCAGTTTATGATACTTCTTTAATTTTCTCACTTTTTTATCTGTCTCTTTGGAGGGTTTATGAAATCCGAACATGGACCTAACGCCGGTACTGTTGATTCCGACGCGTGGCGCTCATAGCACCTGAAACCAGGGTCAACCGTCCGTTCGCGCTATTCAAAACAACTGATCGCATTTGGCTGCAGTTTGGCAGGCAGAAGAAACATTTTGGGGCTGAGCAAAGGTTCAACTTCTCTGGAAAAGGTGAATGGGGTGTTAAAAGGAGGTTGTATTCTGACCGGTATTGATTATGGCATAAATGTTACAGAAAGTAGAGGTAAACTACGGGACTTTTGGATGGCGCTTAAATAGTTACTATTTGCCCCTCGCACTGCCTTTCCCACTCGAGGGCAATCTCTGAGGAATGTTGAGTAAGGTGTATGGANTGGTGNCAGAATCAAATAGNAAANNCTATAAAACAGCTGTAATGGTGAGGTTGGTGGGTATGAGGAGTTCTAAGACTGATAGTGCTGGTGGTGGGTCACATGGAGACCCCATTTTTAGAAAAGTGCGAACGTGACGGTTGACCCATGCTGGAACCCACCGTTCCACAAATCAGTCCAGGAGAGTCGATGTAGGGTCTTTTGAGGTCTTCCAGGAAATGCCAAGCTTTTTTTTCTCGAAACGGTTTTTTGCATGATAGGAGGTACGTGCATGGAACACAGAACTGTGGTTCATTTTTCCTGAGCGACCCTTGAATACCAAAAAAGGAGCGAAGAAAAATTCTTAAGGAACTGCCGTTCTTAACTTTCTTCACCAGTTTTTTAGCCAAAGTCTACGTATAAAGGTTGCTGATGGTCCTAATTATAGATATGACATAAGTTGTTTACGCTGACGCTATTTTTCGCGAATTTTGAAACGCCAACACAAAATGCAAAAAATTGTCACTGCGAGGATTCGAACCACGGACCACTTCATCACCCCTTTTTTGTATTCAGAGGGCCGCTCAGGAAAAATGAACTACAGTTCTGTGTTCCATGCATGTACCCCTATATCATGCAAAAAACCGTTTTGAGAAAGCTGGGCATTTCCTGAAAGACCTTCCTCGTTAGTGTGAGGATGAAAACCTTGATGTTAACTTAGTCAACGTCTCCAAGCCATTGTGTAGGCCAGATATCCATCCAGATATCAATATGCTTACGAGGAGTGATCAAGTGCATGGCGCATTCTTGAAAAGCATCAGGCGGCGTCGACCACTCAGTCCTTGTCTTTCAGCATGAATTTTTACTGCATGGAAGGAATCTGCAACCGCAATAACATCCAAATTTTAAAAACATTAATAAACTCTGCCTTCTTCCTAATAATCCGGCAATTTCAGGTTAATGGGCGCGTGCTGGTCGGTCATTCCCATGTGGTTGCATCGTCCATAGTTCGGCAATGTTGCGACAAAGGCGAAGGCTTGGAAATCGTGGTTTGCCGGCGAGACGGTTCCATGGTGAGCACTTTATTTTTGAGTCACTCCGCTGGAAATGGGGTTATTTATACTTTCCTGCTTACCAATATTTACGCGAAACAAATTCATTTATGGGCCTGTATGGGTCGTCTTCGGTCTCTACACTGCTTTTTCACCTTGCTGTGGGTCTTACAGGGCTCAGTAGTACAAGTGGTACCCAGTAAAGGTTGAGGGTGCAGCAAAGCAATTAAATTAAGATTTCCTATTCCCTCAGGGATGTGCCAGCGTAGGGGTATTTAAGTGTTTAAAGTAAAAGTTTGGGTGGTAAGCTGGCAGGGTATAACATTCACCTCATCCTTCCCTGCCCCACTCGATGTGCTAGTTTATATTGCTACCTGAAGGAACGGGAAATCGCATTGCTTAGAAGGACAATTGGTTACAAATTTCTGTCACACCAAAAGGGGACCGGCGTCACTATATTACAGGCAATTGACCTTTTGGGGCCTTAACTGGGACGTAAGGCCTTTAGCAGCAGATTAAGAAAGAGGAGATTATGTAGCTTGTGATGTGTGCATTGTGCAGAGCTCCCGACATCCCTACAAAAGCTGAGCTCGCCCCGCCTCAGCGGTTAACACAGAAGCTGCTGACGACCAAGAATTGGAGCTGTTCTAAGTGCGTTGAACGCCGCATCGGCCTGACAACATAGGTGCGTTGTACTGTAGCCGAGTTATACTGTTACAGAATACCGTATTTTGGATCTTTTCCCCATATTGTGCAGCTTTTCTCTGAAAGTCTTCTTGGACGCGTTTGTCAGACAAACTCGGAAGAGTAGTGTGGCGGTTTGCACCACTTTAGTCATTCCTTGCAGGACGACGTCGCTGTACGATCCACAACTGAACCGCCAGCACCCGATGTGTCTGAAGATCCTGACGTGGTTCGTTTTCGAGTTTCTCAAGTGCTTACCATTTAGCCTCACCTAATTGTGGGCAAAAGGACGGACAGAACATTCCCGACTTTTCTCGGCAAGCTCATAAACTCGTCAGAAAAGAAGAATCTTTTTCGTCGACGCCTAAGGGCATGTGTGCAGGCGTCTTTGCAGAACTTTTGTGTATTATGGGGAGCATATGGGAAAGATAGGAGCTAAACCAAGATGGTTTAGCAGTTTCCGAACGCTGTTCAAATGGCAAACTGAATAGCAAATAATTTTGTCTATTCCGCTTTCTTTACAAAAAACTTTCAGTCTCGATTTTGGCAGTGTGCAGATATAGGCATTCGAATAGTCCCAAACTCTTGACCTGTAAACCTATGCTGGTTAAAATCTACTTTGGGGAGGAGGGATGAGGGCATTGCTTGCTATCTTATCCTTAGGCCCCGCTTTGGGCTCTCTAAAACTAAGGTAAGATGATATCAAGAACGAATCCATTCAAGAACTTCTGGCTGAAGGCTCCGGATGTCTCACACAAATTCCTGCCCACACGATCCAATTTGGGCTGGCACGTACCGGCTCATCACACCTGGAGCTTTACAAACCCTTGAGCCGAAGCACATCCATATCTCCATTCGCCTCTGGTACAGGGTCGTTTCCTTGAACCGTTGGAGCCAAAATTGTGAACATGTCTCCAAGAGCTACGATCCACACCACATCGTATTCTTATACAGAAGTATAGCTTCACCAGGAACTCCCACATTAGATTTTCCAGTGCGCGGAAAACAGCCTTCTCCATTCCCTACAATAAAAAAAATCGATAACCCTTAAAGCCGGCTCGCCTCACACGCCAGATAAGGGGCAAAAAGAACAAATAAAGTGAATGTTTTCGATAATATAATAATTATGATAACCAGTTCGACTATGAAAATTTTGAATTCCCGCTGTAAAACTTCCACAACTGTTAGCGGCGTGGAGTCAACACGTGCAAACGTGTCAAAAGCGTGAACGTGAACTGGATTCATGTTGGGCCCTTCCCATAAACTGACACGTGGATCCGCACCTGCCACGCACTTCGTCACAGAAGCACTTCCGGTCCCGCCTACTGGTCCAATCCGGTCCCACAGATGGGTCTTTCCAAGGGCTGTTTCTCTTGGGGGTTTCATCATTTTCGCTCTGAACTTTGCATATGGTCTTCAATGACCATGCCCAACACCTGTACACAAGGAAAGGATAAGCAGTCTTTCCGTGGAAGATTCCTTTAAATCAGATCCAATTTATGTTCATGAGGCGGGCTCTCCCTTCTTATCTTTAAGGTAGTGAAAAAGGAGAATGAAGTGAGGCCCCCCACTAGGTTTACACACGTGTGGTTTTTTGTGTTTTGTCGCAGCTGGCGTACCATCTTTTCCTTCTTCTATATAACCCGCACTTTACACAACGACAAATACTGCACTTGCATAATCGCAGACCGCAGTGAGAAGGTCATCAAGAAGCAGTTACAGGGCTGTATGGGTAGTTAAGGCTCCCAACTTAACAAAATGTCGCACAGAGACGTCTCTCAATTCATGCAAAACAAAGGACGCTTTACGACCTCAACGACCTCCTACTGAGACCTCCCCCGTTGCGACATTACAAATTTGTCATTTTCGGCTTTCAACATTCAGGCGTTCTATCAGGTGCAGGATAACGATTGCATAGTGTGAGTGAGAGAACGGTGATTGATACAGTGCCATGCATAGCACAAGCCATTCACAGTTTGAAAGCGGATTTCCCTCTGAAACTTCAACTGTGCCCCTAAAAAATGCGGAACCTCCATGAGATTTGTTCAGCTTCGCCTACACTCAGGCCAATCGGGCTTTCAACCATCTCAACGCGGAGAAACGCGACGACAGCTCATAGAAGGCAGCTATTTTTGAAATAATGTAAATAAAAATCGATAAAAAAAAAAAAAAAAAAAAACAAAAAAAAAACAAAAAAAAAAATCTATAATAATCTCATCTAAGAAAATTCTCTAAAATCCTTCCAAGGAAAGCGCTAAATTTCGGCCGCTGCGGGCAACTGCCTCAAAGAATAACACTGAATCATTTTTTCACGTCAGGTTAAACAAGCGTTCGTAAGATTAGTCAGTGGCAAAGTTGGCATGTTAGAAAAAACATCAAAATAAAGCACAGTTGCCAACTACTTGACTTGGGCTCTGCAATTTTATGAATGCGCACCTCTTTTCGCAGATGCCTTGGAAATCTGAAGCAGAAACCGAGTACATGGCGCATGCAGATGCTTGGGTGAAAAAACTGCAGCATTTGATCTCCCCAACTTCCTCGACTGTTACCGACGGTTCAATAAAGTGGCTCGCTGGAAACGTTTTTCATGCCTTTTCGTTTTTTCCTGCGACGAAAAGAAAAAGCCAATGGTACCGTCGAAATTTTTTCATTTGATTTCTGATTCTTCAAGACTTGAGAATATAAAACGCTAGAAAATGTAGCATATCAATCTTTCAAGTCGTTGCTCAAGCGAGAAAAAAATGCCTTAAAATTCGTTCCGGCGAACACTTTTGACCGCTACTGTAGCTGTCACTAATTTTCTGCTTGTTCTATGGGACGTGGTTCAAATTGCCCTGAACAGGCGATCTCATTGGATTAGCACTTCTTCTGAGAATGAACTCTCAAGCGGTTTTTCGGCTTACCTTCTAATTTCCTCCATTCAATCTTGGGTATACCTGGATCGGAACCTTCCTCTATGTCTTAAATCGTCGCGTAGTGAATAGCCGAGCCCGAGCCGCGAGTGTTAAGTAGTTGTTGGATCATTTTCCCAGCTGCCACTCGCGAAAACACCTTCAAACAATGGAAAAACCTCGAAGTGTCGTCGTCGATAGCGAGTGCTCTTTGCAGATCGATAACTATGTTTTACATGTGACGTGGATTGTGAATGTGGAGAGAGCTTCATGTGTGTGCGTGTGTTTTTAGCGCCCGAGGGCGGTCTTTCTGCCTGCACCTACTACCTCTTATCTCTCTCCGCTCAACCCATACTCAGTCATAATCGCTCCACCCATGCAATTGCTATACTCTACATCATTTGTCTCAACATTTCAATCTCATCACCGCCGTTAATCCACCTGGCTAGGAGAGCGCGGGGATGTCCCGTCTGGGATCCACTCCCTGGTTACCGTATACCTCCCGATTTGGACATTGTTTGCGAGACTGAGATTTATCTCACTCCGTTGCAATTACCGCTCCTTGCATTCCCTATTCTTAGTCGTCCAAAGCGTTCGCAACACTCACACGATTGAGCTCCTCCAGCTAGCCATAGGCCCACTTTTCCCACTTGGGTTTAAAACATTACCCCATCGGGTTCATGGGTGCAGGTTTCACTTGTCCTCCGGGAGGTCGGCGACGTGACTAATGATTAAAGCAATTTTCGGGTCGTCTTGCATTCATGCTCGTTATTCATTAACGCGTCGGTGACGAGGAGCCAAAGCCCGAAAACGTGCCGTCGCGGCTTTGCCCCACATCCATCTAGCCTTTCTTCTCCTTCCCACCAACAAAATATCCCAAGAAATCCCCCTGGATCTTCATCTTGCCTCTAGTTATTCCGTCAGACAGCTCACGTCAATTTCAATTTCAGACCGAACTAATGCCTCCGACGGTGGACGTCTCCACGGATCCGTCACTGCACAACCTTGAAAGTGAGTTTTTCAGATTTTCCTCAATTTTCGCACACTTCCACGCCTCTGGCCTGCCATTTCGAGTGCGCAAGCTCTGACAAGTCTTGGGTTCCATTTCAACTTCGTTGCTATCAATTCTCAATGGTCCATTGCATATAATCAATGTTGTCCAGCTGAGGGTGCTCATTCTCCGCACGTCATCAGCCAAGTTCCCGTCCGCATAGCCTTCTACCCTCTTCTAAGCAATTGTTCTGTTGTTTTGCTGGCGCATAAGTAATGTTCTGCATGACTTATTCGGCAAACCCGAAGCGAAAATGCAGCGGATGTCGTCGAGCCAAGTCGACGCATGCAACAGAACCAGGCCGCGCTTCGGGCTGTCTCGAGACGCCCGAGAGAACTCTGCTCGAATTGACAACGATGCTCGTTGTTGGAGGCGCCTCGCCACACTAATGAAGAGTGCAGAGGCTATAGTATACGGAGGATAAGGTTTTCAGCGCCCGAATGATTCAATTTGAACAGCTGCTTGACGGCGACCGCGATATTCCCACGTATTCTCTTGGGAACCTATAGATATTCGGTTTGTTGTCAATAGTGGACAAATTGATAGTCTGAAGAACCGGAGAGAACTTTCTCCCGTATAGCGCCTCGGTTCTATGAAACTCCTAGTCCGTGGGTAAGCGCCGAAGGGAGTGTTTGGCACTGCTAGCTGTCAGACTGGGATTCCGTCAAGGGATTTTTGCAAAATTCAGATGTGGCAGGCTAAGGTTTATTTTTCGGCGCTGTTGCACCTACGAGGTCTTTTTGATGGCCTTGGCCTGGGTAGTGGCAGGAACTTCGCGGAAATGAAACCTTCGCCCATTCTGGGGTTGCTCTTCTCCCGAGTGAGGTTTAGTCTCATTTCCAACAAAAAGGAGATGTTTTACGCGGATTTATAGCGTTGGCATCACAATGCCCCCGTATCTTGCGATAGCGCTTATTTATTCTTTTGTAAATGCCGTCGTTCGAATTTACAAGCCCATCTTTCCTCAGTCTTTTTTTTCTATCCTCCTGTCATTGGGAGCATTATATATTTACCCATGGTGAGGCATATTCTTTACTGACCTAATTATATGATAGGACACGATTCTTGCGAAAAATAGCGATTAGCGCAATTGAGTTTAAAGATGTCAGGAAAAAAAGAGGATCCATTTTTGATCTTTGCAATTTTCATGGCTAGTCGCGGGCCAGTTGTAACACGCAAGAGACAGATCTCCACTGCGGCAGCAGTCCTGCCAGAGATTTGGAGGATCCTCCAACCCTTCGGAGCCTTTTCGTTCATCTCAGTTCGCAGCCAGCTCAACCCACAACGTCCGTTTACTGCTCTTCTCTCATTACTCGTCAGCAT